ATGGTCAGCATGTAAAAATAGAAGGCGTATTCTCACCGTCTTTGCCTTCAATTGATCCTCTGTCCGATGAACGTTCAATAAGGGTGCAACTTTCACGTATAATCTCCACCAGGGCCATTCTCTTACGGACATCCACTTCCTAACATTCCTCTGTATGCATCTAACCGCAAGATCTTGCAGCTGAAAGGATGCAGTAAACGTGAACATCATCAAGATTTTTACGGTGTATTAACTTTTTGCAAATTTCGCAACTCCATTGTCGATTGAATTAATCGTGACCTTTCACGTCTAACTTTCTCCAGTCGCGAGCGTTCGTCAAAAATTTGAATCGCTCTCGACATCCAAGAATTGAATTTCCGCGAGAATTTGTAATTTTGAATTATTGAATATCATTATTCTTAAGTTATTCTTTTTCGCATTTTCTTGGTCGTTTTTTCACTTTTATAACGCGAATAAAGAAAAAAAAAAAGAACGCAAGTAAAATGCCAATCGGTCGATTTGCTTAAGACGCGTTGCGGAAATGAAAGAGCCGAAACTTCTCGGGATGAGTGAAAACTACCGGTACGGGTTCGCAAGTGAAGGTGCACTTTTACAAACTCAGGAAGATGTCGTGACATACTTTCAAAGTGTTGAGTTTACGACGTGCCAGATAACCCCTACATCTTGCTTGAAGAAGAATAATGTGTCCAGTTAGCTTCTCGTCTCTCTGGGCTTCGAGTTGCTCCAAGGTACCCGATCTGAAAAATATCTATGAAAAAGAAAACCGAGAGATTAATATGTATTCGATAGTGTTTAATTTCTAACTATTAGAATTTTTATGCATTTGATGTAAATTTATAAAAACGCAAAAATTCTTAGAATTATGATTTTTCAACTAACATAATTATATTTTTAAAAAAAAAGAAGATATCGTTCCTTTCTTCACGTTTCTCACCTTCTTTCTTTGCTTTTCAAATTGAATAAAATATATATATTATATACAATCGTGCACTCTATATAAATTTCGATACACCGATGTTAAACATGAATTATTAAACATGAAAATTATTAACGGTTAATTAAAATTATTAACAAATCAATAATGTAGCCAGAGGTTGAATTTAATTAGCAGAATGCAAATACTACGTTTCAATGGAATTCATTAAAATAATTGTTTATCTAGTCGGTACATAAGTACAAGAAACACGCGTGAAAAAGAATAGAATAGAAAAAGGAATGGCGATATCCCTGACACGATTTTCATCATTACATTCCGCGTGAAGTACATTACTCTCTCTTAGATGCAATTAAACAATAAAATGCCACGTTGATATATGGAAAATCTCTCTCCTACTTCAAGCTTGGTCTCTACTTTCGAAATAATTTTTTCATTCTTCTTATCTGTGTAACTATTTGACAAAATGAAACCTAATACAATTACACTATGTCTTGCGTTTTTAGTAGATTTATTAAAACTCATTCATTACTTTTGATTTTCCAAGTGATAATTTTATATTGTTTTTTTTTTTTTTTTTTTTTT